TAGCTCTCATTTTTGTGTTCACCCTCTAGTTGCTATGATATAAACCCACCGAGGGGGAAAAAGCATTCCACATTTATATGTAGTAAATAATTCATTCTAAATATGGATTGGTTTTGCTTATAGTCTATAAATTTGAGAAAAAGAGGATTGAAGGTAACATCTACTCTGGTGTTTTTCTAAATCTCAGATCTTATATGAATAGAAAATTTCTTCAGGTCCCAATGTATTAAAGAGTCATAGAGATCAAATAATTTGAATAAGCCCTGACTTCTTTCATGATTGCTATTAAGGAAGGGAATACAGGTACCTCTCCCCATGTCTGGATTATCCGCCAAGGATGCTCTGGAGAAGGAGACAAAGAAGATCTAAAAGATGTGCCTATACTTTTCTATATCTCAGTAGTTGTAGTTGTCAGCACAAGCTCCCCTAGATTGTGTCCTTACCCACCAGGATGATCTGATCCACGGACCTTAAGAAAAGAACAACTTTTTCCCCACAAGGGCCTGGCCTATGAAAGTGGCCTCCACTGGGAAATACACAGTGAGTAAGCAACAGGCTAAAAGTTTCCATTGCTGTGGGCTGATCCTGGCAGGAACTGAGATATTGTTTCTTCTTCTGTCAGACCCGCATTACAAGGTCCAGTGTTTCCTACATACTTCACAATTTCTGCCAAGTGTAGTCAATAAGACAAGCGGTCTCAGGAGAGCTCCCAGAGACAACAGAGAAGTAGATGAGATGAAGTGGAATGCCTTTCAAACACTGGGCAGAATTAGAATTGCACCCTCAGATACTCAAACAAACAAACAAAACCCTGACTTACTTTCTTTCTTTCTTTTCCACAAGAGTAACAAAAATATTACTTCATTAAGATAGTGTAATTGTATTTTCTATTATATTATTTTAAATATGAATTTAAATAAATCATATGTAAAGATAAGTATACAACCTACTCTGACTACTTACTCCTACAACAATATACCTGTCACCTACACTATCTTAGTTCTGTCATTTGTTTATTGCTATTATAGAAATAGAAAATACCATAGAATTATGATTTCACAGTTACAGTCAACAACTATAGAACTTTAAAAAATAATTCTGCCAATCACTATCCCTTTGATTGACACCAGGGAATGAACTCTCTGTGAGACTAGTCCTTGGGTGAGATGAGCAAGGAGAGTTCATTTCACCGCACGAATATGTTTTGATAGATGAAAAATTCTTAAAGTCATCCTCAGTAGGCTTTATCGATCTTATCTCTGAAAGAACGAAGAACAGTGACTGCCATTTTGAGGTGTTCAATAAATATGGATATGTAAGTGGAGGCCAGCAATGAATATGAAAGAGAAAGGAGGGCTATATGAGAAGGAATAGAGAGATGAGGTAAGGGGGGAATGATGCAATTGTATTATAATCTCAGAGAATAAATAAAATAGAACATGGCCCAATATGAAAAATTTTAAATCCTAAAAAGTATAAATGTCATTTTTTACTAGTGTCACACATTAAATTTTCTGCAGGAATAATTAAAGCTCTTTTTAAAAGCATAAATAAAACTTAGATAAAGGTTTTCACCTATTTGTTTAGATTCTACATGCATATCCCTAGTTTGCTATATGACTCTACTGACTTTCTTTTGATAGAAGGCATGGTCCTGATATGCCCTGGGGTGTTTCATTTTAAGAAATCAGACTCGCCAATATTCATTCATACTACCTTTGTTAGCAGAGTTGAAAGATAACAGTTTATTACAGGCTTCTAAGCAGTAAGCCCAGTCACGGTTTCGGGTTAGGTATTGAGAAAGTGGATTCTTCTGTCGGTTTTATATTTTTTCATCATGGGTTTCTACTGTCACTCACCCATGAACTTAGAAAGTTTAAAGACACCAAGAGGAAACCTTCTCAACCCATGTTCACATCATAATGCAGACCCTCACAGATGAGAGTCCTCTGAACAGTCATTGGTTATAAGGCAGACTGTTACTTCAGGTTGTTACTAGACAGCAAGCCTCCTCTTCTATGTAAACCCCTAGGTTGAGTTTAATGGGGGAACAAATTTCCTTAGTGTATAAATGAAATTCTCATCTGTCTTTTGAGCCTACAGAGACTCTGACTCTGGAGATGGGTTTTGGCCCTCAACTTCAGACCCCCAGCATTTTGTCTCAAATGTTCTCCAAGACCCTCTTCTCTGAGTCAGGTTGGCCCTCTGACTCTGTGACAGGGAGAAAAAAGTAAGAACAAAACAGCAACAGTACAGTTACTGTTATTTCATCTCATGATGTAAAGTTCTTTCTCTACCTCCTGTCCAAACTCATTCAAGAACAAAGACACGAATACGATAGATCACTCTAGGTACTGCCTTCTGTTTTCTATAAAGTTTACATGGGAACTTACAAAGCTCAATATTTTAACAGTATGTTCTCATAAATAATATTTATTTCTTATTCATTCAGTTTGGGCTTGACTTCCTTTTAGGAAGGTGATGTTAAATAATATTAATATGTTCCATAAGATTCCCTGTTGTTTTTCCAGAATAGAAAAGAAAGCTGGAAATTTCAGTAAGTTTGCAAGAGTTTGAGAATGTTATATACATCATGGAAAAGGTAAAAGTTCAATACATTGATATCAAACTGCCACTTAAACCATTTAGAATAATACTCTCTGAAATAGTTATAAGGACTGGCTTAAATAGTAAAATGTGTTTCTAATCCAACTTAATTAGGCATGTTTTTCAATCCTCTTCTAAATACAGCACAATAGTGAAAAGTATCAGACTGGTGTAACCAACCTTAGAGTTTCAATAACCATACTTGTAAAATAACTAATATGATAAGAGGGATGAAAAGAGAGAATATTCTCCTTTTTGTTCTCTGAAGTCAGAGGATAGTGGTACATGTCTCAAATTTTTGCAATGCTAGAAGCCACCTGTTTCCTTGTTCAGGGAGGTCCTAACCGGTATATTTTAACCAGTGTCCAGTCTACAAAAATGAGCTATGAACTTATGAAGAAGAGGAAAGCAATGTGACTTAACGGCTATCTTGTTTAATGCAATCACATGGCATAAACCATAAAACTTCCTGGCATCACTTGAATTTCAAGTATCACAGGCATTCATTCATCACATATCCCAATCTTTTTCCCCCATCTTTGTTGATTTGGTTTGTCTTCACCTCCCTGGATGGCTAATGGACTCATGGAAATGGGAGACCCAGAGGAGACTCAACCACAGCCTGCACTGCCAAGTGATAAGGTCAGTGCATTTCTATGGCATAATAAGGAGGCTGATGTCTCTGTCTGTGGCTACTGTAGCTGTCCACTAGCAGTAGGTGGTCTAGCACTTACAATTTATCCTTTGGGTCCAGGCTCTCTGTTTCCCCATGTTTTCTCGGGGCTGTTGTAAAATCACATGTGCTTTCCAAGTCTAGCCACTTCTAGGAATCAGGTCCCTTTGGTGTCTGCCCAGTGTGGGAGGAGCATGACTGAGAAAACTCTTACTTCCCCTATAGAAACCAGTAATTACATCAGGCAAAACAATGTGTCAAAATTAAAACAAAACAACAAAAAACCACCATGGAGGTCTGGTAAATATTACAAAGAACTTATAAGTACAAGACTGCAGTAACTGCCTCTGTGTGTACAGTAACCATTCTTGGAGACCTGTACTCTAATATCATCAGCTAGATTAAAAGGGAGAATATTTTTCTTTTTCTCTCCAAGATCAATTAGATCCAAGGGTACTGTCAGACATCTTTAGAAATGTTCTGTAATTGTGGGGAACCACTTGTTTTTTTTTTCTATTTTTATTTATTTATTTATTTAGCTCAAGAAATCCATGGAGACCTTACCTAGTGAATTCTAAGAAATGTTCAGTCTACAAAGATCAACGTTAATGCAGAGGAATGATTTCTTCAGTGCTTCCAAGTAAAGGCCTTTGACTTATTGTCACTAATGGAACAGCTAGTATAAGAAAGACTAGAAGACATAGAGGACAAGACCACCAACTGGCGCAAAAAGTAGAGGAGGAAGAGATGATAAATTTTGGCTAGCCTCAATGTCTTAACCAGCAAGCAAGGAGAGCCAACACTTAAAATGACGGGTATGTTCAATAGTCCAAGGGATTGCACTCACAGACGTTATAATGGTTCTAGTCTATATAAGATGTTTCTTGGACAACTTCTCACTAGTTAATTTCTTCTTGATAAGTAAAATGGTATACATATATAAACCTTCAGACCTCGGCTTAAAGCAGCATTTACTTACAAAGAGACAGCCTCACTATTGTTTTAAGCGAAAACTTGAATGATGACCAAATATTTAAACGCCATGTGAGAAGGACATCTTGTTTATTCTAGCCACTTCAACAACTCTCAAAAAGCCTGAAAGCAGATCCTGGGTTTAACATTCTAGAGAAAATTCTGATAGGCCAAGGAACAATAAGGAGGTGCCCAAAAGATGCTCATTCCTTAGAACCTCTCGAAATACTCTAACAGACTTTGATTTGAACATTTAAACTAGACTGCATTCTGGCTTCTGGTTCTCTGCCTAGGACTTGTAATGTAAATAACTTATGCCTTTACTTCTCCCTCACATCTATTCCAGACATCAGACAACAGCAACTTTATCACAGAAGTCATAATGTGGGGACCTTGGGCTTTAGTGGTTATCTGGAAAGGACTGCAAAGTGTGACCAATGGCAAACAAAGATAGAGAAAATAGAAAAATACAAAGCAACGAAGTATAAAAATTAAAACAGTCAAAGTAAAAGAATTCAAAGTGGAGGCAGCAAAAGCTGGTGGCGGAGACATTTCAGGAGAGAACCACACGGTATGTAGCAACAGAAGCTAGAAACATTCAACTGGGAAGAGATGTGCACAGGTCTGGAGGCCCAGTTACAAACTCTCAGTCACCAATGTGAAAGAACCACCAAATACCTCTGCCAAGAGGAAAATTCATCGATACTGCTCAGATCTAAGTCATAAACAGGTAAGATATATTACTTACCCGGTTTATACTGTCGTTCGCTAAAATAGCCTGCAGTAGAGTTTTCTCCAATTCTTCCAACTTCTTCGAACATTTTTTAAGAATACGATTAGATAAATTAAAATCATCCATCAGTCTAGCTAATGTACCAACAGCTTCCATCCAAAAACTTGAGAAAGGGAGTTTGGGGTTACGGTAAAACGTGATCAGGCCATCTAACAACTGTGCAACCGAATCAGAAACTGTGGAGGAGTCTCTCTCAAAGTGGCTCAAGTATAGTTTCAGACCACTGGATTCTGTCAGTTTCTTCAGTTCAAGCAGATGCTGTAAGAACTGCATGTGTGAAGACGGGGGATTTCCCAGGGTGGTGCAGGACTTCTTGTCAAGAGGCAGTGGCAGAAGGGGCGGGGGGCTGCAGCTCTCCACAAGATGCTGGGACAACTCTGCAAGTTCGCTTCTTTGCTCACTTGACAAGATGCATCCAGAATCATCCATCAAAGCCACAGTATTTTCAGAACTTCTAGGTTCCTCATCTGGCAATGGGGGGAACACATCATGTCCTGAAATAGAAAGGGACAAAAGTATTATCTTCCTGCAGCTAGATATCTTAAAACCAATACAATGATTTTATTCTAAATGAAAATACTACATAAAACATGCAAATGTACATAAACATTTAGCAAACAGTGTAAAAAATGGCTTAGATGCAAAACAGACATTGTTTGACTAAAGAAATGTTTTACGCATTTTCATTCAGACCCCTCATTCAACAACAAGCATGTTCCTAGTAAGTTACAATCATTCCGAGCTTTCTCCTCCATGCAGAACTGAAACAGTTTTTTCAACAATTTGTTTTATTTTTAATTATCAGTATGACTGTCGGTCTGTATGTGGTTCTGTATAGCACAGCACAGTGTGCAGAGGCCACAAATGTGCATCAGATCCCTAAGTCCTGGAGTGAGCCACAAACCTGGTTCCGAGGCACTCTGCAAGAGCAGCAAGTTCTCCTAATCACTGAGCATCTCTTCATCCCCAACCAGAACAACTCTAAAAGGAGTATTTCCATCCACATGTGTGCTAGGAGAGCACAGTACTCAAATTGAGCACTGACTAACCTGGCTGCTTGGTTTTAATACCCTCAGCAAAGTGTCATGGGTGCACATGTTGGGAATGACAACATTAAAATTTGGACACAGAGAAGAATCTCCTCACAATCCATGAAAGGAATGCCAGATTTGGCAAAAGAGTATCATGGTGAAGTTTTATATGTTACAGATTACAGTATTAAAGTCAAGTTATCAAACTGAATAAAAGAATAATTGTATTTTATTTTGAAAATAGCTCTGAACAATTTCTATTTTGCATCCACTCAGATTTACACCACTGGCTAAATGTTTGTGTACATCTTGTTTTTAAATATTTATTTATTATGCATACAATATTCTGTCTGTTTGTGTACATCTCATGAGGAGACATACTCAGGGCTGTAACTTGCTCCTGACTATGAGAAATCCCTCATGGTTAACAGATAAAATGAGCAAGGATCAGCATTTTGATAACTTATATCAAACCATAAAAATTTTCTAGATAAGTTACAGAGATATGAGAGAAACACATTTAGGTACTTATAACAATAACCAGTTTAAATATTATAGAAAACTAACTCACAATAATTTAGGCTTTCTCATGGCATACAATCACCAATATGTAGTCACTGTACAACATACTTACTCTCCTCCCTTTTCTTACTGTTAAGGATGGTACCTATAACTAATGTTTACATTAGCAGCCAAGGCTTTCTTTTGGAAAACATTCATAGCTTAACTAGCTAAATAATAATGGGCAAGAGAAACTATACTGAGTATCCATATAGAAAGGTGGAAGAACCACATTTTTCCTTCGAAAGGATTAAACAACTTGAGTGACAATATTAATGCACAATAATCTCTAGCAATAGTCATAAGCAAGACATTTTTTGAGAAAGACAAGTATTTAAATACCCATACCTGTTTGAGAAAAACACAGCATGGAAACAGCAATGTGCCTCTGACCCATTAAGAGAGTATTCCACAGCAGCAATCAGAACCTATGCATGTGCTTGGGTCTATTTTCAGAGATCTCAAAGCTAATAGAAATACCATACAAAGTGGGTTTCAGTGATATGTACAGAATACCCCATTCAACAGAATATGTACTCTGTAATAGCCAGGGGAGAGGCACTGAAAAAAATCATGGGGGAAATTTAAAAGTAACTTGAATTACTTTTAAATTGAAAGTAGAAACATAAATTTTTAAGAACTTCTGAGGTATAGCTAAGGCAGTTCTAAACAGAAACGTTCATAGCAATATACTTTCCTTAAAGAATAAGAGCGATCTCAAATAACTTAATTAAGTACCACAAAATCTTAAATAAACAGTAACAATAAAAACCAAACTCAGTAGATGGCAAAAAATTATAAATATCATGATGCCTAACCTCTATTGATCAGCTACTGCATAACCCCTGCACCTATGGTTTGCAGAACATTGCTGGAGATAGACAGACTATAAGAATCAAAAGACCAGAAAATCTGCTGTGAGGTTGTGATACCTAGAAATGCCAAGGAAGTTGGATCCTTGATACTTCAACAATATATATGCCTCTTACATACTGAATCGTATATTCTACTTCATTTTGGTGAACCATAGACCTTATATTTTTTGGTTTTTAAATTCTAATTTAAATCCATTTATCATTTCAAAATAGATCTCAATAATATTCAACAAAATGAAGCTCTTACCTTCCTGGAACATATCTTGTCATAGAAATACTTCCTCTGAACCTCAGAAAGGACGGAGAAAATGCCCCTTACAAAATAGAATGAGCTTTTCTTTCCTGGTCATGCCTTCAACTTACTGGATGAGGCTAAACCCAGTTTACTAAGGCACTCAGTCTACTGAGCCAAACTATCTTATCCCAAACCAAAGAGTGCCCAGCTATCTGAACTGAAACTTAAAATTAATAATCAAGACACCCATTTCTATGTATGTCCTCCTCCAATCACTTCCTCACACTGGCTCAAGGCACCTTCATCTCTTTTACTTATTAATAAACATGATCGATTATTAATTAATAAATGATAATTATTAGTTAATAATTATTATTATAATTATTAATGAAATGGTCATTATTAATGATACATGATCAATCAGCCTCTGGCTCTGTCCTCCTCTAGTGTACCTTCTATAAAGTACCATTTTAGAGAAAATATTCCAGAAGCTTCAATCATGTTATAGAATAGAGCCCCCCCAAGGTCCTCAACTTAGCACATAAATCCCATCATTGTTTGCCCCCCAACCTTCTTATGTAGTTTACCTTTCTCTTCGCCCTCATGTCATGCATGCAACTATAAGCCTTGCAGAGTTCATAAGAGGTGCCGCACCATTTCACACAATGATGGATTTGCACATCCTTTCCCCCGGATTCATACTGATTCTTCTTCAAATCCGGCTACTTCTCTGCTGTGAAACTTTCCAAGTTCTCATGAGGTGTAGAAAACCTTACCTACATGTCCCTACTCCTCACCTACTCATCTTAACCTGTCTTGAATATATTAGTGGCTCCTTACTGAAAAGAGAAGCTTCTGAGGGAAGAGTCTGTTTGGATGTTCCAGTTGTTTGACACCCGCCTCCTACATGGCTGGTGATTTGATTATTATTGAAAGAATTTCTCTTACTTTCTCTCTGTCTCTCTGTCTCTCTCTGTGTGTGTCTCTCTCTCTAACACATACACACACAAACACGCTATGATTAAATCAAATAACATTCATTCAACTGTATTCAGCATAGGAATGTATAATTTGCCACTAACAATTATGATTTCCAAGCATTAATAATCATTATCCAACATACACTCAAACATCAAATAATGTAAAAGTAATGTTTATGCCACCTGGTGGTCAAACCGAAAATGTTATTTAAAGTCATTTCATAATTCTGTTTTTAATAATACTTTTTTATATTTTTTGAAATTATAAGATAATTACATTTTATTTATAAGATAACTACATCTTGTAGTTATACTATAATTACATTTCCCTTCCTCTTTCTAATCCTCCTCATGATCCCTCCTTCTCAAATTTATGGCCTCTTTATATATGGATTCCTGAAAATAAAAATACAACCTGCTTAGTCCATGTTATCTGTCTTTAAATGATCTCAAGGCTGATCACTTGGTAGAGAGTAATCAATTTGGGAGCTCTTAATGACAGTGTTTCAATTAAAAGCAATTGTTTGTTTCTTGCTTTAGGAATATATATTTTAGCATATGACAAAGCATATTTGAGAAATGCTGATAATAAGGTTTCAGTTGTATTTTATCCAAGCACATCACCATTCTAACTTTAAATATACCAAAGAGAGATATCATATACATGAAAATATAACCAAATGGTGTGATTTCTCTTGGCTAAACTGTCTTTTCTGAAGAGAAATAAAACAAAATGTGTATTTGTAGGCCGACTTTGTCCTAGGCAATTAAATACCACAATTCCTCATGCCTTCAAGTGCTCATTCTCTGGGATTTGCTCATTGTTTCTTTCCTACAACATCTTCTAGATCCCCAAAGGACTTTCTTTACTGTTGCACTGTTTTATCTGTGGTTTTCTCCATTTATTTCCCTTCCTGAATATCTCCATCATGAAGCCTCAAGGAATTATTCAACTAAAGAGTCTCAAGTCTGTATCTCTAATCCCAACACATTCTCAACTAATTAGTCTTCTTTGTCTGTTATTTTCTCTGTTTTTAAATGATGACAACATTTTAATAAGTTATTTATTACAAAATAATTATTAGTATTCTATTGAACATGTTTTAAAAATAGCTATTTCATATATCATATGATACCATGAATAAATGAATACATAAATAAATATTTAAGATATCTAGGTAAACTAAAGAATTTGTAAAATTTGATCAGACAGTAGAGTAAACAAATTTACATGAGTGTTCACCATGCTGAAATCCCTGGGTGTGACCATCAGAACTAAAATAACTGAACAAATGCCTAATAGGAAATAACTTTAAGAAGTATTTACTGTGGTTCAGTTTGAGATGATGTAAGCGGTTACAGAATTGAAGGTATTATGGAAGAACTAGGTTTTCCTAAGTAGAAGGATCATAAAAATACTCACTCATATTTAAGTGGGCCAAAAAGTAAAACCATAAATCTCAAAGCCAGCCCAGCCATGATTAACTTACTCTCATGGGGCCGACCACTCAAAGGATCTACAGCCTCTCACGTCAATGTCATCAACAAAGTATTAAGAAATCAAACACAAGAACTATGAGTAACATTTTATATTCAAGTCACATTTTGGGTATTATCTCAACAAGATTGACCTCTTCACTTAAAACCTCCCTAGTCCAAAGGAAATTAGCACCTCCCCTTATACTTAAGGCTTACATCAGTGCTATCCCTCTGAGTCCAATGTTGGAAACCTGAGAATCTACTTTGTGAGCCTTATACACTAATACATATTAATCTTGTCTATCTTTCCGTTCCTTGAAGTTTTAAAGTCTG